TACAAAAACGCAGATGTTTACTACCTGCAAGTAATATTTATACTGGTTTCAGTTAGATTGTAGATTGGATTAAAGCACATTCTGCGCAAGATTGTGTCGTGGAAGACTGATTGGTCATTTTTAAACCAATTAGCATTAGCAGATAATTGGAGAAAACTCAATAACCTCGTGTAAAATCATAATACCCAAGCCATGCAATCCACACGTAATTAGTTGGCAATCAGTGTCCGAAGATATGGTATGCGCTACGCACATTCCAAGTGTAAAGTAATTTTACAAGGCTGGCATGACCCTGATCCTGTACTCACCCTGGGTGATGAGCAGATTGAAGTAGTCGAGAAGTTCATCTATATGAGTAGCTGCTTAAGTGTTGGTGGAAGTTTGAGTAATGACATCAATTCAAGTATAATGAAAGTCAGAACGGCTTATGGCAATCTGGGCCATCCTTGGAGCATTCGTGATGTTAGTCTGGCTGTAAAAGGTCGGATCTACGAGTCGGTGAGAGCAGTTTTACTCTATGCTTGTGAAACCTGGCCTTTACAAGCCCAGGATGTTAGACGACTTCCTGTGTTTGATCATCGTTATTCCTGAAGGATTGCTGGCATCCAGTGGCAACACCTTGTTAGTAATGCAGAGATTCGGCATCGTGTGTTAGGGAACAGTGACTACAATTCAGTTAATGTCACTATCTAGGAACATCGACTTCAGTCATTCAGTCAAAACGTAGAACTCCGTACGTAAGTACATCAGTTCGAGTTGCCATACCACATTAACACAGAGATGCAGTTATCGACAAAAATCCCATAGTGGTAGAGGTAGTAAGAGTGTAAGCAGTAATCCGAAAGATTAGGGTTTGAAGATCTTATTCAAGAAGTATAATCCAGTGAAATAAATTTGGAAAGAGAAAACGATAGAAACATGAAGAATTCAGAAGATTAGAATTTGACAGAACACAAAGATTGGATGCACCTTCGCCATTGCAAACGATTTTGAGCCATGTCATTCAAGGTATCTAACCATCGGTTGTTATCATCTCGCGGAACCCAACCAGGTAGTCTACACCTACCAACATGGCTCAGTTCACTTGTCAGTGACTTCATGGATTTGTGCCACGTTTTGGTCTGGCTGCCGCTAGTTTTTTTCCAACCTACACGATAAAACATCGCAATGTTTTGAAGATACCTATGATCGGACATTAGTAGCCTACGAATATCCTCTACTCTTATCGGCCATGTTTCACTGCCATAAAGTAAGACGGAACGAACTGCTGCACAGTAAACTCACCCTTTTGTTGCTAGACGGATATCTCGCCTACGGCATAAATGATGCAAGTTGGCGAAAGCTAGAAGAGCCATCTGTATCCGTGCTGAGATTCCGTCACATACCAGACCACAAGAGTTGATCAGACTCCCAAGATAAGTGAAGCAGTCAACACGCTCAACTACTTCACTCCCTATCATTAGTTCAGGTGTCGATGCAACCCAACCCTGAAGTAACATCTTAATGTGTGTCTATGTTCTAGGACCTAACGTAGTGTGAATATCTGGTCTATGCAACCACATCCAGGTCGAAAACCAGCTTGGTTTTCTCTAGTCTGCTCTTCACGAGCTTTCGTTAGGCGTCCAAGTATTATTGAAGCTAACATTTTAGACACTATATTAGTCAAACTGATTCCCCTGTGATTGTCACAGGACTTTTTTCCTTTCTTATAGACTGGCACAATCAGTGATTGGGACCAGTCAGATAGAATTACGTCCAGTTCCCAGATTCTACCAAAGACCTCAGTCAATCTCACTGCTAGTACTGGACCACCATCTTTAAAAATCTCAGGAGTAAACCTGTCAGGGCCTGCTGCTCTCCCTCGCTTCAGATTTCCAATAGCTTTTTCAACCTCGTAAAGATTTGGAGGACTTACACTAACTTGCCATTCAGGTTGACTGGGGATCGTGGGAAATCGAAGTGTGGTTGAAGGCCATTTGAACTGATCCCTAAAGTGTTCTGTCCATGGATCCAATCTCCGGGATTGAGAATGAATAATATGTCCATCTTTATCTGAGATATTTTCGCTAATAGTTGAGTTCCCAATACCGGTTTCTTTAACAAGTCTCAACAGTTGTCTGCTGTTAGCTATTCCCACTGCCTTTTCCATCTCTCTTGCTTTCGCTACCCACCACTATTCGCGATCTTTGCGTAGGCTTCGAAGTAGCCTGAGCTTAAGTTGACTCCGCTCTTCGTCATGCTTAGAGTCAGATGGGATGAGTTTTCGGGCATCTATCAGTGCGGTAGATGCTGCTGAGATCCAGTGTTTCTCGCTAACCCTATGGTATGCCGAAGATATCACAGCTTCGACGTCAGTGCCTTGAAGATGTTCTACGGATGTCATCCCAGAGAACTCTTCGTCGCGCATTATTTGGCGACGCTGTGACTGGTTGTAAAATGCAGAGAGGTGGTCAGTGTTCGATGTGATGTCGTGGTATGAAAGCAGCACCGGACTGGCTTCTGATGTTTCTTCGCAACTCCCTGGCTGGGTTCCTAGAGATGGTGCAGCACGGTGACTAGAGACATCGTCAGATATGGCTCAGAATATAAGCCATTGACGACCCTACTGTAACCTTCTTTTACTTTCCTCATACAGGGTGGCCATAACCTCTTTGACTGAAAAAATCCTTCCTGGTTGTACCTTACAAAATACTACAATTTTTTCGCTACCATACACTAATTTCCGGTCGTTATTGTTCTTTTATACGCATCTTACACTCTTAATCTCTCCCCATTCTTATTGTTATTGCGTGGCGCATATAAATCTGGTGCCCCTTCGTACCAATGTGTTTAAATAAATTGATATACCTGCAAATATATATATATATATATGTTTAGTCCCACATATTCTGATTCCATCTTTACAGACAATACTGATAACGCAGACGAAAAACGTTCAGTAAGGCGCTAAAATTAGCTATCATATGAGCAAAACCACGCCAGTTTTAGACTAACGACTACGTCAGTGTGTAGCAATAGTAAGGGTAATTGTTCCAGCTTCTGAGATTTTCCATGGTCGCCTGAAATATGTAACGCTGGATTTTAGTTTTGTTATAAGGCACTAGTTAAGCATTTGATGTTTATAATTTATGAACTAAAACATCGTTAACGATAACTGGAATGTTTACATTATTCATAAACCCGAGGAAGTCACAAGATTAGATATAGTTATGTTCCGTTAATCTCACGGAGCAAGAATTCGCCTTTCCATGTTGAAAAGATATGAATTAAAGCATAAATATAGGATTTAGTGGCTCCCAACAACTTTTAAATATATGTACGGCAATATGATGTCATCAAACAGAGCTTTAGATAGTTAAAAACCTGAATATATAACTGACATATGGCTGATATCTACAAGTATAATCATGCCATCAGAAACAGTAGTAAGGATTCAACATACCCGTGCAAAAGACAAACGAAAATAGCTTCTTCCAACCACAAATTATGTATTCTACGAGCAATACAAATCCACAGGGAAAAATACCATTCCTGAACAATATCCTACAACTTCCACTGTATGAGATAGAGGAACCCAAGTTCAGGTAGTCCTAGCATACCAGAAACACAAATACTTTATTCAGTGACTTCATACACCTCATAAAGTCTCCGAGTGTTATAAAATTCTCTGTAGAGTGAAGTTCACCAGACCCTAAAGCTCACTTGAATGAGAATAATAACCTGATTAATTTACAGGAAGTGACAAGCAAACAAATACATGAACGGGGGAAGAATGTCTTACTTGAACAGTGTACTAACAAATTTAAGGCAGGAACACTCAACGAAAATAAGCAACGTAGCTGAGCTTGACAAACATGCCTACCGTTCAAGAATTACTGTAAGCGATGCCTTTCACGTCCACAAAGTCGGTAGCTAACTTAAAAGCAAAAGGTGAACTTTTCTTAGTCCTCCTTTCAAATAATTGATTACCAACCGAACTACCTAGTAATAAAGCTAATGCAAAGCTGTAAATTCTTTTTTTGAGGCACCAAAGAGACACGGTGAAATTTCGGATTCCGTAATCTCTTATGAACACAAATAGCCCAAGCTTCTAGCGAAACATATGGGCAAAAATTATAACACGTTGCATATTTATGTATGCATAAATATACCTAGCTTATCAGCCCCTTGCGAAACCAGTTTACATTGCATAGTCGGATATTGAAATCAACGATGCTAGCTCACAGTTATCAGGGCATAAGATTTAGTTTTCACGTGTCAGAACGGACGATTCCAGCAAGTCGGTTTTTATGAAAACAAATCAGCATTGCCTTGGTTATGAACATTTGGTGCGATGCTCGAATAATCAATCTAATAATACACAATAGTACAATATAGAACAGCTAGAGCTGCAGAACGAATTCGGATTAATCCTTTACACGACAATACACTGCTTATTCAGAGCCATGATATTGGCTGGAAACTATAGAAATCCTACACAACAGAACACACTCAGGACATCGCTGACTGACAGGGTTTACAGAAGTACTACAAATGAGATAGATAACAGATTTTTGCTAAAGCATTAATCACGTCATTCGAGAACATGCGTTGCACAAATTCTGAAGTCTTGCCTGTTTAAGCACGTTTTGTCTTATTGGTAGCTTTGTCGCACTTAACACAGTGAAAAGTATTTTGCTGTAGATATGGATTCACAAACCTTTATAGCACTCAACAGCACATACCACTACTATTACTCGATACCACGAGCAACTTAACTTCAAAAGTAAATTTTGCACAACGAGGCCGTACTCATTTATCGACATTACAACCTACACAAACATACGACAATTAAAAGAAATACAGACCATCAAAGATTTTATTTGATTTAAGCAATGAGTTCATACGGTAGCGGATGGACAGTAACAACTGGATTATTTTTGGTCTTCACCAAGTGACCTGCGCGAGGCTGGGCAGGCTAAGACAAAATTTATATAACTAGGGTCAATTTACCTGTCGCTTCAGCTGGACGAACACATTTCTTTCTTTTGCATCACGTCTTTTTACGTCATTCTCTTTCACACGACGGAGGAAATCTTCTCTGCACTTACTGGGCTTCACATGCTCAATCCTTACATTTATTCGTTTCGGAATTATTCGATTACTACAGAATGAAACTTAATGAGCCGAAACAATCTACCCGACACGCTTATTGACGATTATTCCAACAGCATGAGGAGTGACATTATACACGCGACCAGTCCGGCCATGATATGACTTGTGGGGCATACCCTTTTGGACACCACCATCACCCTTTATATCTACGATATCACCACGTCGATACACTCGCATATAAACCGAAGATGGTAGGGGTCCATGGTGCCTGAATTTTCGCGAAAATAAGTATCTTGTGCCTCGACGGTATCCTTTGGTATTTGTCATTGTATCACCTCGTGATCAGAAGTTCGCCGAACGCGGGCCCGCTACTAGAATGCAGAAAAACAAGATACTTTAAATAGTGGCATCCAATATTCAATACACGGAATACGAGTATTAGGAGTTTGTAAAATCGAGTTGATTTCCATGGGCTGAATCAATGTTACCTCTGCATGGTTACAGGTCTTTCGTAATGTATGGTTACTGTTAACCTTGCCACTGAACAGTTCGTTAAATACTGTGAGCTTGTATATCTCATAATCTGAGTGAGTTCATTCGTCACAAGGAATAGAGGTTTCTGACACCAATAGTCATCAATTTACCATATTGGATGTTTATCAGTTGCAATGTAGAAAATCATACAGAGGAAATTATAATGCAAAAGAGCTGAGAGCAGATGAACTTCTGAAGTAAATAGATAAATAAATTGATCACCTAGCAACAGGCTGAAGTGATAAAATAAAATGGGAAGCGGAAATGACAATAAATGAACTGATAATAAGTCAACATATTTGGTGATTACAGTAGTGTATGAGTTACGAGACATCAACTAGTTACAACTAGTCCGAACGGGAGATGGTAATTCATTACAAATTACGTGATTGTCCAGTACCTTCCTCATGTTCTCTGCGTCAAAGCCTTTGTCCACTTCAACCAGAGAAGCATTCCAAGTGGAGGCTATTAATTTGGATATTCTCACTGGGATGTGTAATTTCTCGAGTCACCTGTTGGAGCAGAGTTGTGATTTCTGGTGTGACGGTTGTGTTGGGGTGATTTTGATTAATTTGTATGTCGCGTGTAATTATCAGACTACCTCCAAGTCCTCCTTAACCCAGTGAGAATGATCTGAGGTCTCGAAGTCTATCGTCGTATGATCTGTACCTCAGCCCCATCACCTATTTAGTTCCCCGTCCATAAATTCGTCCCAAGAGATGTACGCCTCTTCTGAGGGTACATAGTGCGACAATGTTGCAGTCGTCGTGCGGAGGCCATGTGTGGGTGTCAGAACGTGTCTTATAGGAATCTCGAGTGATTACGCCAAGCTGTCTTCGTACAAAGTGAATGATCACATTTTTTCTGATACCATCACTAATGTAGTCTCAGCTTGTGTTCAAGAGCCCTATGGTTGCTAGTGGTCATGAGGGAGAAATTTCAAGACATGACATCTTAGCAGGTTAAATTGTAACATAATGTCCATCCTCATTATCGGTTGTCGTCAGGTAATTTGGAGGCTGGAATGAATTCTCATCTGTTCTTATGGACCTCCACGTTCTTATGTCATCAGAGTCCACGAGGCTTGCGTTAAGCCTCATTAAGCACGCTGTTTTTAATCATGTTTTCCCTCGTTTGAACACTTACCAGCATTTCCATCTTATTTGACAGCATTGGAATTAACGCAACCGGTCTGTATCAGGTCCGCTAATTTTCCTCTTCTGAGAACAGAAGAGAGAGTTTACACTTTCACATCTGTAGTAAATTCCAGTGACTTTGCAGATAGGTCATACACCGGTGCCGAGTACCGTTTCAGAATTGCTAGGAGGACATTGGGATATTCTCGCGACTATCCTGGATTTAGGAGTTTTAGTTTTCATGATACAAACCTGGGAGTTAGACAAATATTTACCAGCCCATCAACTTTAATTAGATTCGATGAAGGCTACGCATCGTTTATTTGACCTGTGAACTCGGTGTCGTTAATCCAGGATGTTTTGCGTGCATTATTCGTTCCTGTCCTCCAGTGATCACCCACTGTTAGCATCCACCAATCTTTTAGACACGATGCCTTCTGAATATGCCTCATTATGACTGTGCACTCTGGACAAGCGAAGCAATGACAATTAATATTCTTGTCTCTCAGAAGTACTTCGTAGGATATGTAGGATATGACTTTCATTATCACTACTTCCTATTGGTGCTTGGATATAGACATTTTCCATCAGAAGATGATCATTTGATAGTAAATTATCAAGTTTTGAGGGTTTTCCGTCCTTATCACAACTCGTGACTTCACTCATAGGTTCAGTCGTTTAAACAACCATTCTATAGGTGTTCAGTGCTTAGTTGAACACTCTGTTTTGACGTTTGTGTCGAATGGTCCATTTTAAAAACATTGCTCTGGGATTCGTTATTCAGTGGCGTTATAAGTTTTTTATAACCCCATTGCCAGATGCAGGGGTTCGTTAATAATATCAGCTCTACATTAACATCTCTACTGATCCGTCAAGGTTTTAGATGGTGGTTTAACATTAATCGATTCACGGCCTCAATTAAAAAACAATAGAGATGGAGTTTATATTTCACTTGAGTAAGTGATGGAAGACAATTGAGTTTGTAGTCTAGTTCGTTATCAGCACATTAATCTTTGACACGACAATGACAGACCTGATCTAAATATTTTGGGTTTTTCATGTGACTACCCCATCTACAAGACCTTTCGTGTAAGTCACATCCTTATCAATAATGACTAGTCCTATTATGACAATCAGCAATATGATGTTTATTACATTCGAAGAACACATTTCGGCTACGGATGCAAAAAGCAAGAAGCTAAAGAGGGTAGCTACGCCTGCGTGGCCGAGTCATACGGTTTCGATTGACTGTTTCCGCGTTCCCCATTACTGACCTTTTCTCCATATCAAGTGTTTGATGTGAACTTCCTCAGTTATCTCATGTTTTGCTCAGAGGGTTGTGTGCCTGACAACCAATACCACTAGAGACACTATGAAATGTATCATCACCTTTAACTGTCTTAACATGAAATCTATTGCCGATACAGTAACTTTTCCATATATCCTGTGTTTGCAGGTAAATTCATGTGCAAATGTTGCAGTTGAAGCAACGGTGAAAAGAGAGGTTATTCGTGACAGTCAAACCTATTACATGGTAGTTCAAACTTAGTACAATAACGGTTGTAAGATATTGTTTTGTGACCTTCCACCAGGAAGAGAAGATGAATTTTGTTGCATCCGAAGTGGCTAAATATTTCAGTTAGAAATTGGAAACTGAATACTTCCTCTCACTGATGAGAGTTTACCAAGATCAATCTAGATCAACCAAATTAGAGACTAAGAAGAAGAAAAGAATATAATTTCTCACGTTGTATTACTGATTGGTTTCAAAGTTCTGGGAAGTGTAATTTCGAAACTTTAATTTTATTTCAGCTTCTTTTTACTGACTGTACGGGATGAATTGCTTTTAGTGAAGGATGTGTACATGTTTATACCGTCTGAGACTACCATGTTAGTCATTATAATTCTGTGAATAGTGATCGATTTGACGGATAAAAAAGATTCCTTGAGGAAGACAAATGCATTTTCAATGCTAGTAATTTATGGAGATTGTGGGAAGTTGAAGGTTTTAATAATGATCTTGTTCTCATGCCTTTATTACACAATCTGAGGACGAATGGAACGAATTGAACGTACCATTCAGATATGAGGATCACAGCGCTGTACATTAGACAACGGACTACCAAGAAAGCCAACTCCATGAAGCAAATCAATTGACCAACATTGGTTGCTCTTGACCATGGTCAACTTTGACGAGTAATTCTGTTTTCACCGTTCGGTCTTCTAAGGTGGGAACACGTTCAGTTTAGCAGAGAATTTTGCTTTCCGACTATTTACTGAGCCCACATGTTCTTTCAGAAACTGAAAGGCAAATTATACTAACTAACAACCGTGAAAAGAAATAATATCCCGAATAAACCTCCTCAATACGGATGGCAATAAAGTAAACGTCAGCCTCCCCCTGAGAGAATACCGTTACTGTCGGCTCGGGTGGAATGTTTCACAACCTAATGATTCTAACCACTAAAAGGCTTTCACGAGATGTTTGCAAGCCTCCTTTTCTTCAATCGCGAAACGATGTTCCATGGAATTCAGCCGTGAAAAGATCATTTTTATTAGCTCATAACATTTGTGATATTTTAGGCCGTTCGTCCCACATTGTGTTCTTCTCTCCACTGTACATGTCCCAAACTAACGTGTGTTGGACTGAATTAGTTTAAGTCCCAAAATGACTGTATGGTATCTTAAATATACTTTTTGTTTCTATAAGACCGAATAACGAGTAATATTTTGCTCAACTTGTTATATAAATGGTAAATTACCCTTCAGTGACGAACGCTGAAAATTCGGAATTAAGTACTGAGTATTGTAATTAGCAATCAACCAGGCTATCAGGTAAATTTATGGGAACAGTTATTAGGACGATATTATTTCTTAAATGTCAAATATTATCTCATCAAGTCTATACCTTGTGTTCGTAACATAATTTTTCAAACTGAGATTGAAACTGTTGTCATGTGACCACCTCTGCAAACGAGAATGTATCTTAGTCCTGACTGACCAGATGACCTTAGTTCATGTGAAGGATGAATAGGATAAAGGGTTTTTATTTGTTCCTTAGTCGTAATTTTTTCTTTTGGTTTTGCCAGGACGGTACACGTGAAAGCGAAAAGCTGTTTTTGAAATACAGTGATGAAAAACAACAATAAGTAACTGGTGTTTATGGAGTTATCTCAGAACATATTTTACCGGTTAGATAAGCTGACAGTTGCTATTGTCAGGAACGTATTCATCTAAGTATACAAGATGTTGTGTGAATATCGTATAAAATCTACCTGGTAAACTTCATTGCATTGACCTATATAATGATACCAATCTGTGGAGTCGGTTGGGTTCACCGATTACTAAATTAAAACCAGTCTACACAAAATTCCCGACCTCAAGAAATAAGTTATCACGAAAGTTTTCGATGACGAAAAGTAAACCAGTTATCTTATTTATTTTGCAGGGTTCTACATCAGATCACCTCAACAGAATGATGAAGCGCGTGGCGTATAAATAAATCCTTTACAATTCCTTCGATTGTCACACTTTTCGGTTGGCACAATGAAGTAACAATGCAATACGAGCCGCATCTCCATCACTGTAATGCAAGTTTCCGTAAATCGCAAACTTTGACAGTTAAAGGTCATGCTTTTCCTGATTACAGCTTAGCTA